TTGAGGAACAAAGCCAATATTGATGAATAAATTATTTTAATTTGTATGTAATTTCAAATATGTAAAATTTTAGTTCTCCACCTCTATCTATGGAAGATAAATCGTCAGACATTGCTTATGGGCGAAGTGTTTCTTCTTTATCTTCCCTAAGAAGATCGAGTAGAGAAAAGACCAAGTAAGAAAATGTTTTCTCTATACTTAAATAGCTCTCCCCTTAACTCGGGAATGAAAACTTATTTAGATTGTAGATTTTGCCAGCTCGATTTTTTCTTCTTCTTATGGTAATACAGTTGCATCATTGCTTTTTAAGTTGCCATGAAAAAGATCTCCGCAAAAGGAGCCAGGAAACCTGGTTTTGCATTCTGTCTGCTGTGGACCTACAGTGATCTGAGCCACATGACTTAATGTCTGTTAGCACAGCAGTCCCCGGCCTTTTTGGCACCAGGGACCAGTTTCATGGAAGACCCCACGGACCAGGGTGGGGTAGGGGATGATTTCGGGATGATTGAAGCACATTACATTTATTGGGCGCTTTATATTATTGTTACATTGTAATTATATAATGAAACAATTATACGACTCGCTATAATGCAGAATCGGTGGGAGCCCTGAGCTTGTGTTCCTGCTGCCTCTGATCTGACAGGAGGCGGAGCTCAGGCAGCCATGGGAGCGATGTAAATACAGAGGAAGCTTTGCTCCCTCACCTGCTGCTCGCCTCCTGCTGTGTGGTCTGCTTCCTAACAGGCCATGGACTAGTACCGCCCCGGGGGTTGGGGACCACTGTGTTAGCAGGTTTAGTTCCCTAAGCTGCAAAGGAAACGATGCCTGGTCCCCCACTTCATAATGGCAAAAGGAATCAAATCATAGAATGAAGTGAAAATGCCTTATAAACTTATAAAATGCCTTGCAAATGTAACTTACTGTTATTTTCCATATGATTGGACTGGTTGCAGTCTTTTGCAAACAACAAAAAAAAAAATAGTTCTCGTTCTAGTGCTGGATTTGGATCTCCCACAGAAGAGAAATCAGAACCCACTTCTGGACGAAACACTGTTCTTAGCAAAAGTGCCGCTAAAGAAAAAGGATCGAGGTAGGAAAGGCGTCCTTGTGTTCCCAATTACCCAGCCAAGTTGGTGAGGGGAGGGGCGGCTCTTAAGTAGGAAGTTTCTCTTCTGAAATCATTGTGTTGAACTAGGCAAGACTCACGAGATGTAATTTTAAAATTACTTTATTTTTGTTTCTCACCATCTCTTTCACATTTACTCAGAGAGAAGTTCTTCTCCTGACTCAGGATGAGAACTCAGTTCACTGTGATCACTTTGGGGAACTACAAAGTCCTACAGTCACTTTAATTCATAAACAACAACAGGAGGCTGAGCAAGGTGGTTCATGTTTGGAATCCCAGCACTTTGGGAAGCCGAGGCAGGAAGATTGCTTGAGACCAGGAATTCAAGACCAGCCTGAGTCAGAGCAAGACCCCCTCTCTACAGAAAATACAGAAATTAGCCGGGCGTGGTGGCGCATGCCTGTAGTCCCAGCTACTCGGGAGGCTGAGGCAGGAGGATCACTTAGGCCCAGGAGTTTGAGGTTGCTGTGAGTTATGAAGACAGCACTGCCTGGATGACAGAGCAAGACCCTGTCTCAAAACCAAAAAACCAAAAAACCCAGGAACAGCAGTCTCTAATCAGTCATTTGAAAGCCCCGCCCCATGGTAATCAACTGTCCTGCCTGCACCTGCTTCCTTTTGCAGGGTAAACCCCCACACAGCACACTGTCACTCTCTCCTTCTCTGCCTTTGCTTCGTTGCCCCTCCCCTCTTGCTCCCTGAGTCTCCAACCCTTCAGGGTAGAAGGAACGAGAAAGAGCAAGAAAGGGAAATGGGGGGAAGCTCTTACTTGGTTGGAACAATTATAATGTGCTTTTGTGCTTTTTAGGCCTGGCGTATTTTAAACATATCTTCTTCTACATGTTTACATATCTTTAAAACATATTTCTTCTTCTGTGAGAACTTTCCTGGATTCTTCAAAAAACCATTTGGCCCTCCTGCCTCACTCCGAGATCCTTTAATTATGGTAGG